CGGGTCGCTTTATTGGATTATCTATTGAAACATAGTATACGGATATGAATAGGAACTTGGTAAACAGAGAAATGGTAACTACTAGTAAGAAGGGATTAAAAAAAAACATATATTTCCTGAACAAATAATAGTATCTAGGATAATACGTACAGCTCCATCTAGTTCAATCTAAGCTTGTGTTATGGGTACTAGATAATCTAAATATATAGAAATCAGCGGTGACTGACTGACTGACTGACATAGTCATCTATCAACGCAAAACCCAAACCACTGGACAGATCGGGCTGAAATTTGATATGGAGGTAGTTGTTATGACGTAGGCATTCGTTAAGAACGGACTTTGATAAATTCCACCTCTAAGGGGGTAAAATAGGGGATGATGTAGGATGTAAATGTATTAGTTTGAACCTATCAATACCTAATGGAACAAATCTTAATTTATTTGTTCCATTAGGTATTGATAGGTCAGACAAAATCATTTTTAGTTCTTTAGGCTACTTTTATTTCAGAAAGGTAAAAATAAATTCTACGCAGATGAAGTCGCGGGAACAGCTAGTGGATAAATAAATTTAGATACATTGTGTTTGTAAATACATATATATTATATTAGAAAACACCCAGGTCAATACAAACAATCACACTCATGAATACAAATGTTTGTACAGTGACCATCGGAACTGTGTTAAACCACTACACCAGAGAGATCATCAAAATGAAACAAAACTTTATTAGCATACTACGTTACTGTACATTTTTAACTATGTACGAGAAGACCATTGTTAGCTTACTATGTTTTCGTCTTTCGCGACAATTGTTTTGACTTCATCCGGAAGTTTTCTTCAGGGCACCATAGTGGTGTGTGTAGTGGAAAACATAGTGGATTTTTTAAATTTCCTTCAATAGTAATGAATTTTGTTGTAAAATTAAAATAATTTTTAAGTATAATTGGCATGCCAGTTTATTATCGCGAGGCTGCGTGTAGCCTATATCACTCACTGATTATATCTATAAGTAAAGGTTGCAAAAACAGCAAGTATTCGTTGTAATAAATACACAAAAAAATATCTTTCTTATTACTATAAGATATTACATAATCAACTTACATTAACTGTTTTGTACGAGTAACCTAATCAAAAAATATTACCGACTATTTTCTGTGCCATAAAGAGCTATAATCTATACAACAGCCATAAATAACAAAGAGTAAACATTGGCGGAACATAAAAAAGTTCTTTACGAGAATAAATGACCAAAGCCCGTTGTTGTTCAAAGAGGCATTCAATCAGGAAACTTGTTAGGTCAAATCAACGATTCCTTTTTCTCCATACAGTTTAACAGAAATCGAGTGTTTCTTAAGTGGCTACTTCTATTACCTACTGAATGTGGCGTAATATTGATTGAATGATTGAATAGTGAACGTGGGAGAGTAATTACAAGGTATTATTTATTATTAATATGTTTTATTAAATAGATGATAAAACTAATAATAGTCTTTATTTTGCATAAAAAATTATGTACAAAAAAAAGAACTTAATATAAAAATATGCTAACTAAAGGCGTCCTTATCACTCAAACTAATCTCTTACAGACCACCTAGTGATAATAGATAATACGGAATAGATAGTGACGGTTTACGCAGGCGGGGCACCAGTGGAGGATAATAAAATGGACATGAGATCAGGTCAGTTAACGTGATAAATTCATCAGGAATATATCTTGATTATTTTCAGCGGAACCGCGTGGAGGTCCATAAATGGTACATTCCAGTAACGAACGGTACGTTCTTAGAATGTACCATGTCAGGACTTTTACGCGATTCTTTTGTTTGTGATTAAAGACAAATATTAATGAATGGTGCACGTCTACGCTAACGGTTTACGCAGGCGGGGCACCAGTGGAGGATAATAAGATTGACATGATATGAGGTCAGTTAGCCCATCAGTGTTTTAAAGATTCAAATATCCTGACCGTTACTTCACAATACATTTATGAGAATATACACGGAAGAATTTAGAGAGTTTTAAAAAACTTAAAGACTGTACAAATAGAAACTTACGCAATAAAAATAAGCTAATTTTACCTAAATGCCGTCTGCACAAAGTCAGTAATTCATTCTATGGTAATTGCGTAAGATTTTATAATAAACTGCCAGAATCTGCACTAAATCTGACAGAGAGGCAATTCAAATCTTATATTAAACAATTTTTGTGTAAGAAAGCCTATTACAGGATAGATGAATTCATAGACGACAACATATCAAGTAAATAATTAGTTTATTGGCATACAACGTTATAATTTGTTTATCTCATTCTTGATTCAATTATTTTAGAAATATGAAAGCGCAGCGGTATTTGTATTGATTTGATTTGATTTTGATTGCATGCATGTGAAATGTGAATACTATAACCATCAGATGGCAATTGTGAGTAGCTATGACGTGGTCTGGTGTTTTGAGTAGTCATGCTCACTAAAATGTCCAGACTTGTGGCGGCGTGGTGGGCCGGGTCATTGGGCTCCCTAAAATATGGTCGAGCGCAGTGGTGGCTGGCTCATCCGTCATACTCGTGAACGGGTGCTGCTTGTGTGGACTGGTCTGCTCTAATCACTATGACTTATTAATTGTTTAACCAGTTGTAGTATATTAAATGTTTTTTCTATTTTATTATTTCATTGAATTAGTGCTAATCGGTGGTTTGTATTCACACACTTAAACTTAAATTGTAAGTAAGAATAAATTATTTAAAAGAGCAACACACAAGTTTCTTGCTTGTTCTTCTTGTGATGAGACAGCATTCCGAATGAGCGGTAGATTAAAAAAAAAAATGTTATGATTATTCAAAAGTGCTTCAATGTAAGTTTATTTGAATAAATGATTTTCTATTCTATTCCATCGTGACAAATTAATCAAGAATTTATCATGATAATTTTCGGAGGAACCGGTGTAGCTAAGTAGTAGTAAGTAAGTAAGTAGTAGCTAAGTATGGTACGTTGGTAGAATGTACCATGTCAGGTTGACCTCCTTCAATTTACGTGTAAATCATAATGATTGTTGTCATCGATTCACTTTACTAAAAATAGGAGATTTTATCCTTCACCATATATATATATATAAATTTAATAATTGGGACTAATTAAAAGAAAACATAATAACGTATCAGTCGTGATTCTTACCAGTTCTTCTCTTATCTTCTAGTTCGGGATACCTGTTACCTTCACATTATGTATCTTAAAGCTATGCGTGATACAAAATTACTTGTGTCTTATTTTTTTGATCTATAAATCTAAACAAATTTTTATGATTATGATTGTTTGTGTTTGTTCGAATGTTTTCTATATGTAATATGTACGGCATGTTTTTAAATAAAAACGTATATAAGTAGTATTTCTATCAGTTGTTTAGTACCTATGGTATAGGAATTTAAAAAACGCCGTAATAACACCCCAGACGACTCAGGACAGACCGTCCTTGCGAAGACTGACCATAGGGACCGACCCCAAATAAATGAAACCAAGGCCAGGTGTTGTTGTCTGTCACAATGTTTATTTTATATTGTTCTGTATAAAAAAATATATAATAAAATTCTTTAGAAAAATACAATATATGAAGTATAAAAGTATATGGCCAGTACGTCAGCAACATGGCGCCCCGCGGTGTGAGCACCGGTTTAGTTTGAGCTGACATGCTGGCGGTCTAGTAGAGGAACCAACTTTCGGGCTGGGCGCTTGAGGATACCTCCTTTGGTGGCGACCTCTGCCACACGGATCGTTTTGTCGGGACCGAGGAATGTTTTTAAGATACGGCCCCGTGGCCATGAACCGCGCGGAAGGTTGCCGTCGGCAATGAGAACCGGGTCTCCGACTTTAAATTCTGGTTTTTCTCCTGGTTGTCTCGGAATCAGTGTGGGGAGGTATTCCGTCAACCATCTAGCCCAAAAGTGGTCAGCAAGACGAAGGCCCTTTTTCCAATTTACTCGACGGATAAGGTCGCGTTCATCCATCTCTCCGAATGATTGGTGGGGAGAGGAGCAACCAATTAGAAAGTGAAATGGCGTTATACTTTCTTCGTCATTAGGGTCTACGGAGACGTGGGTGAGTGGCCTTGAATTTATTAAGGCTTCGGCTTCTAGGAGGAGTGTGTGTAGAACCTCTTCTCGTGGGGATTTTTCTTTTAGTGTTGTGGAGAGAGCTGTCTTTACGCTTCGGACCAGCCTCTCCCAACATCCGCCCATAAAGGGTGCCCCAGGTGGAATGAAGTGCCACTGGATCCTTTTATTGGCAGCATCATTGACTACGTCGTCATGGTAGAGTTGCTTCAGTATATTATTTGCTCCGACGAAGGCTGTCCCGTTGTCTGAGTAAATTTTAATTGGGCATCCACGCCTTGATATAAAGCGACGTAGAGCCATGATTGCCGCATACGAGGATAAGCTGCCAACAATTTCTAGGTGGATAGCGCTAGTACTGTCAGGCAAGTGAAGAGTGCCACATAGCGTTTTTTCGGTTCGTCGGCCAATGGATACAATAACTGGCCCGAAATAATCCAGACCAACAAAGGAGAATGAGCGTACGCTATGAGCCATCCGTTCTGCAAGTAGATCACCGAAAGATGGGGTCGGTGGGTTCTTTTACGAAGGTGACACATCATGCATTCGTTAGCGACTTTCTTTACGGCTGGACGTATACCGAAGACGAAATAGTTCTGCCGTAATTCGTTGACAATTAATTCTGTGTTCGCATGTGCTGCTCTGTTGTGATGGTATTTTATTAGAAGTTTCACGATGGGATGCTTGCCGCGAGCAGAATGGGGTTGCTTGTGGTGATTGAGCCCGCACAGGCTATTGTCCTCCCTGCTAATTTTAATATTTGGGAATCGTCCAAGGTGACAGCTAGCCGTCTCAAACGACTTCTATAGGGCAAGGGCTTTTCGGCTTTAATAAGGCGACGTTCTTCTCCAAAGGAGTCTAGTTGGGAATGCAAGAGTAAGCAGAGTTCTGATGCGACTAGATCTGAGGCTTGTAGCCGTCGAGAAGGGCTTCGTCAACCCTATTCCCTATCTTACGAAACAATAAATGTATAAAAAACCTAGCAGCGAGAGCAACAGTAGCTGTAGCGCGAACTAGACGTAACCAATTACTGAAACGACAGTGATTAGCTACTACTGGCGATAGTTCCGGAGAACTATCTGTTGTTAGTGCAACTAGCTCGCGATCACATTTCATTTCTTCGGGGCCTAGTCGCACATTTGTGGAAGGTTCCTCAGGCCATTCATTTTGACCGAGTAATAGAAAGGGTGGCCCGGAGAACCATCGTGAAATTTCGAATTTTGATTGTGGCCTCGTAGCGTCGTCAGCAACATTCAGATGAGTTGGAACATATTTCCAACAAGAAATGTCTGTGAGTTCTAAAATTTCTCCAACCCGATGTGAAACGAATACTTTAAAATTGCGAGCATCGCTACGAAGCCATTTGAGAACTGTCAAAGAATCTGACCAAAGGAAAATTTTGACAGGCTTATGTTTATGAGCCTCTATTAAATATTTACAAAAACGAGCAGCGATCAGAGCCGCCAGGAGCTCTAATCTAGGTATGGAGGCTGGCTTTAGAGGAGCTAACCTCGCTTTTCCACCAATAAGGCTTATTTTGCAATCGTTGGGCGTTATGAAACGCCAATACGCTACACAGGAGTATGCGTATTCGCTAGCATCAGCAAAGACATGGAGTTGTTTTTCCGTCCACTCACATGTTGTGTAGCAGCGTGGAATAGAAGTTTGGCGGAGATTTGATAGGTGCTCAAACCAATGTTTCCATTTTAATAGAATTTCGGATGGTAAGTGATCGTCCCAGTTGATACCGAGCCTCCAGGTTTGTTGAAAAAGAATTCGACCTCTTATGACAATAGGAGCCAACAAGCCTAGAGGGTCATATACTTGCATTAGTAATGATAGGACATGGCGCTTAGTCCACTTAGAAGACTCATGGATAGGGGGTAAACTTCGCAAAAGGCCTAGAGAGTCATCAACGATGTTCCAAGACACTCCGAGAATTTTATGGTTTGGAGCATTGTTTGCGAGATTTACCTCTAAGATGTTTGTGGCACATAGATCTCGAGGAATCAAGGTAAGAGCTTCTTTAGAATTAGAGGCCCAATTTCTCATCTCGAAACCTGCGCGAGAGTGGACTTCTACAATATCAGCTACGAGACGAGCTGCTTCATCTGCAGAGTCGACGCTACCCAGGTAATCGTCCATGTAGTGGTTGTTAACTACAGCATCTACGACCATCGGAAATTCTTTTTTATGATCTAATGCGTTTTTATTTTTCAGGTAGAGAGCTGTGCACGGACTGGAGACCGCACCGAAAATCATCGACGACATCCTGTATTCCAAAATCGGTTGGGATGGTTCATTACGCCACAGAACGTTGAACGTTGAGCGTCTCTGTCCTCCTTCCGGATTTTAATTTGGGGAAACATTTCCCGAATATCGCCGTTGAGAGCGATGTGGCCTTCACGAAAACGCATCAGGATTGCTAACAGAGGTTACAGTAAATCGGGACCTGCTAAAAGCATAGAATTGAGGCTAACACCTTCAAAAGTGGCTGCTGCGTCGTGTACAACCCTAAGTTTCTTTTTTTGTGGGTGTACGACGCCGAAATGTGGCAGATACCAAGTGATTTTGGAGGGGTCTGCAGGTTCTGTGCATATTTCTGCGTAACCCTTGACAATGTTGGCATTTATCTGTTGCCTATATGATTCTGCAAGCGACTTATCACCTATGAGTTTTCGTTCTAGGCTTTTAAAGCGGGACAAGGCAAGTTTATAATTATTGGGGACATCTTTTAAGTTGTCTCGCCATAGGAGACCTGTTTCAAATCGCCCTGAAGGAAGACGAGTAGTGGTGGACTCTAGTAAATCTAACGCTCTTTGCTCAGTAGGGGTGCGATAATCTTTAGCTACAATGCCTATAGAATCTAGTTTGTAATCTTCTTTTACGAGATTTTCTAACGATTCATAGCTGTTTGACGGATTTACAGTTATGGAAATGGTATGGTTTACGAACTCGATTGGTTTGGTTTTACTCGAGCTGAAACCGAAAAGGACCCAACCAAGAGGGGTGAGACCGGCTACAGGCTGAGACTTAGAGCTCTGGCGGATCTCTGTGGGCAGGGTGAGGTTCCAGTTGTCGATACCAATTAAAAGCATCGGTTTAGCATGTTCATAACATATAAAATCGACCAAATCAGATAAATAATGTAAACCTTTAACAAACTCGCGATCAATATGTTGTGGACCAAGGTTCAGGTTAGGAATAGAACGAACATTTTCTAAAGAATGCCACTCCGTACTATAACGTCCCTTGATTGTGATGTCGACTAGGGATATATCGGACTCAGTTGACATACCTCCTATACCATCGATCTTAATATGGCTTCTTCGTCCCTTTGCACCTATGGCGGACGCTACTGACGAGTCTAATAGGGTGGCTGTAGAGCCATCATCTAGCAAGGCAAAAGTATCGAAAGTACTTTTAGGGCTACTGTGCTCGGCGCTGTATCGTCACTCGATGGACTTGTGTCGTTTTGAGTCTTTGTTGGTGAGGTGGTTCTGTGGAGTAGGGAGTTATGGCTTAATCTACTCTTACACCCTTTCACCTGACAATGCTTAAGCGTACAGCGGCGAAAGAAATGGGGATTGCTTTGGAGGCATTTGTAACAGACTTTGTTAGCAATGACCCACTTCCATCGATCTTCTACTGTAGCTAAACTAAACTCTTTGCACGTTTCAATGTCGTGAGACTTTGAGCAATAAGGACAAATAGCAACTTTGTCTATGGTACTATGACATAACGTCAGTGGATGACATTGACGTTTGGGCGGTTCGGGCTTTACTTGTTCAGAATAGGTTCCATACCGAACACGTAATTCCGCCTCGAGCATAAGAAATTCGGACAGTAGTTCGAGTCGAAACTTGCCCAGAGTCTCTTTGCTTGCTGCATAGTCTGCCCAACGGATCCTAAGTAATGGCGTAAATTTTGTTAAAATCTCGTTGGCCAAATCGGGTGACGCCAAATACTCTGGTCGGTTGAGCAGTCGCACGACTTCCGTGCATCTGCGTACTTTGCAAGCAAAAAGATTGAGTTCCTTCATGCTCTCATTATTACTTATTTTTGGGAGAGCTCGCATTGCCGAGATCTCTGAAAGTATTATGAATTCGGGTCTAGCAAAGAATACCTCAAGAGCATGAATGACCTCATGAGGGTCGCGCGTGGCCGCTAGCAGTATAGCTACGTGATCGCGCGCGGCCCCACGGAGACTAGCATTGAGCCTCGCCAAGTTCTCCGTTGGTTAGCGCCGGGCTGGACTCATCATATGACTTTTTAAATATAAGCCAATCCGTCGCGCGACCATCGAAGAGTGGGAGCGGTGCACTTACCTTGGATGATTGGGCCGCTTTTATAGCGACGTCAGCGACTGCTCGAGCAAGGTGTAGAGTGTGGTGGTTTTCTATGCTTTTATTTGTGATACAATTATGCGTATGTGTGCCTATGGTGTTGTTTTGTGGTATGTACGTGTCCGTCACAATGGGGTGCGCCGAGAAGTGCCCACTATGGGCCGCCTGCTCCTGTGGCACGGCCTTGAAGGCAGCGCCGTGAGGGCCCTCCATGGGCATCGGCACTGCAGGCCCTGCAGGTACTGCATCGCATGCAGCAGGAATGGCAGGTGGACTGGATGGCTTCTGAGTCTCCGGCGCGCAGTTTGTTGCTATGTCTTCTCTCGGGGCTGATGCGCAGTTCTTGGATGTCGTAGCGAAGTTAGCGTCCAGCCAGTTCTCTATTGAGTTCCTGGAGCTACGGCGGCTAGAACGACTATTTAGTGCTGCTATCTGGGCACGCATTTCTGCTTCAGAAGCAGCGCGTTCTGACACCAGATGTTGTTGTCTGTCACAATGTTTATTTTATATTGTTCTGTATACAAAAAATATATAATAAAATTCTTTAGAAAAATACAATATATGAAGTATAAAAGTATATGGCCAGTACGTCAGCAACACCAGGTAAAAGAAGAAGTTTAGTACCTATAGTACTAGCTCTGCTTAGTTTAGGAATAAATACTGCTGTGTGAATCACACTGGGTTTTTACATTTATTTATTTGTATGTACAGTTAGTCATAAAGCCAAAACAATTTCATAAAACACTGATATACTACAAGGCATTATTTAGGTTAGTATATATGTTATTATAAAGACAATACTGTTTTTTTATTTATTAATTTAATTTAATTTTACTCAAAAGAAGCTTAATGCACTTTAATATTATTTGTTATTTTAGCCTATATATTATTCTGATGCATGAGCTATATTACTATAAAGTTTCATTAAAATTCGGTCAGTAGTTATTGTGTGAAAGAATAACAAACATACTTTCAAACTTTCGCGTTTATAACATTAATATGATACAGGTTGCTACATGTATTATTAGAGATTTACAATTAAGATTTTTTGCAAATACAGTGAATTAGAAAGCTAATAAATTATAGGAAACTACAAGGCTGTTATTCAGGTCAGTATTGTTATGAAAACGTAACATTGTATTTTTTTATATTGTATGAACTCAAAAGAAACTTAATCCACTTTAATATTATTTCTTCTACAGGCCATTTTAATATTACATCTTGCACAGGACAGCTACATGAATTATATTATTATCTATTCATAAAGGCTGTATTTTATTTGAAAAAAAAGTAGGGATCTCAGTAATTGCACTAGTGCAGTATGTCTGCGCCGCGCCGTATAAATCAATTATACTTTTATTGAAGCAGTATCGGCACATCGTAGCTTCAAAGCGTGGGACATTTTTTTAAATTGTGTGTGATAAACGTAAAGGCAATTTTTTATACCTTAGGTTACAGTATTAAAATTGTTGTTTTTGAGTCATACATGTACATGGCTTATGTTACTCAGAGATAATGAAGCATTCTAATGGTGAAATAATATTAGAAATCAGTCGATTTATCGTGATTATTCGTTACAAACAGACAAATATAATGAGAAGTAGGATCGGATTAACTATTAAGCGGAGTAGCCAACTGTTTAAGAATTAACGAAGAGAGGCCCCGTGTTTCCTCATAAAAGAAATTGAAATATTTAATATATTAAAATAAAAAATATTAGATTTTTGTTCTTCAATGACAATAGGTAACAAAAGGTAAATATTTTTTAACTCAAATGTATAGAGGTAAAATAGCAATGAGTGGTCTTTTTATTTTTTTAAACGGATAGATTCTTGACAGGGTTGAAATAACTATGTTGGGAACATATCTAATCTGTCCCTGGGAAGAAGATATAGAGCAGCATTATATCACCTATTCTGGATAGTCCCTGGGTCCTGTAAGTTGGCCGTTTTGACAGATAGATACAAGTAATGGAACCCATTTGTCACAGTAGATTTAATTTAAAGATATTTGAGCACTTCTATTTGTGTTTACATTTCTACTATACACAAAGTTTCACCAATATCATTCATTCAAAGAAGGTTTAATATTTTGTGATATTCGTGAGTATGTGTGCGTGTGTCTAATTTTGTTATAATGAAAGTATATATTTTTAGGGTAAAATATAAAATCTAAACTACACCTAAACTATATTTGCGTGGCTTACATTTTACACTGAAAGTTATAAGTATAAAATAAAGGGATTTTTTGCGCGTTTAACAAACAGAATAGTAAAATTAATTTTACTATTCTGTTTGTTAAGCACACAAGTAGGTACACTGATTTCCCAAAAAGGATAACGAAAAAAAAAACAGATAACTATAAATAACACTAATATAAATAGTTCGTTTGTAATACTTTATTTTACAATATAATTTAAAATAAATGGACACAATTGACTTAAAGAATAATTACGTACAATAGTTGTGCTGCAGATCCAAACTTACTAAAATCTAATCAGAATATTGAGGAAGGAAGCATCTATATGTAAGTATATGATAGAGCCTTGTAAACGACCCTGTTCGGGAGGCGGTTCCAATAAGGGACTGTGTAGGGCATGACGAATGATACCCTGGAGATGATAAGAATGGATTTCGAGGATGGTTTGTTTTTATCACACTAAAACCATTTTGAATCTACTAATATAACTGCTACCCTTTAATTTGTCGGCCTTGGTGGTCTAGGGGTAGCACGCTGCCTTACTTCCGATGGTGGCGGGTTCGATTCCTCACATGGTACAAACATTTGTATTCATGAATATGATAGATTGTATCGGCTGGGTATTTTCGACGTATTGTACAATACAATACAGATAAAATACAATATTTTGATTATGTTGACTGATTAATGTAATTGTGTATCTACTTTTAATTTTTTTTGTTAATA